CTGGTCCCCCCCCTTTTGCCTCTGCGTTGTTGCAGATGCTTTTTTGTCTCGGCAGCGTTGGCCGTCGTCCATGTTACAAACTGGGTTTGTTATTTAGGAGCTCTGTTATAGCAGCTGTAGTTAAACAAAGCCAGTGAGAAAGATTGTATGAACTTTTCTGAACGCCCCCAGCCGTGACCTCTGCGTGGCTTAATAGCCAGTGCCCCGTGAGCCATCTTGGCTTCAGTACAGCATCTTCAAAGGGAGAGGAGAAAGTGACTTTTCAGCCATTATTGATTTATGTGATTCCTTTCATTTTCAGCCGACCAAACACCATTCTATGAGTGGGCTGCCAAGGTTGTTCCAGCCCAAAAATAAAGAACAATTGCTCTCCCTGCCCTCTGGCCCTCACTCAACCGGAGCTTGGTCCCCTTCAGCAGCTTTCGGGGTCTTGCACTGAGTTCATGGCAAATGGCTCATAGAAGGAGGAGACAATGCTGTACGAAGTGCTACAGCAAGCTCCAGGGCATGTGTTGTCATCAGGGCCACCCCTTGTGCATCAGTTTGCCAACAGAGAAGCAGACCCAGATTGCACTCTTATCCATAGTAGTATTTAGCTGATTCTCGATTACTGCGTCATTAACTGGAGTACCCAGCAGATACAGGTTGGGGACTGGGGCACACTTACTTGCTGGACCAAACATGACGTCTCGGAGTCATCACGCTTTGCCAGAGCAAGCGCTTTGTGTCCTTCACCCTTCCCACCTCTCCCCACTGCAGGTGTCCAACTGGTTTGGCAATAAGAGAATCAGGTACAAGAAGAACATCGGGAAGTTCCAGGAAGAAGCCAATCTCTACGCGGCAAAGACGGCTGTGACCGCAGCGCACGCCGTGGCCGCGGCCGTCCAGAACAACCAGACAAATTCCCCCACCACACCAAACTCTGGTACGTACCTGGCTCGTGCGTTACAGCATCCCGAAGGGCTGTCCGCAAAGGAAGGCCCTCGACGGTGCCCCGGTGGGTTCGGCCGGCTGAGAAGGCTGCAGCTCCCTAGCAGACCTACTCGTGGCACGGGCAGTGGTACCAAGCCCATGGACCTCCAGGCTGGACCACTGGTGGCTGTAGGTGGGCCCAGCGGCGAAGCTCCCCCAGCCGTACCGTTTTTTTCCCCAGCCGCGCTGGGGAGCGGAGCGGGGCCCCCGTGGCTCCCGCAGTGGTGACGCCTGCCTGGCTCGGGCTTCTGGCAGCTTGTTTCCGTAGATATTTTAAGCGTTCTCTCATTCAATGAAAATAACGTAAAATGAGGCAGAGCTCCAAGTCTGTTTTTGTAGAACTGTTAAATTTATTGTCAAGATATGAACAAAATAGAGGAATATTTTAGCATGCACTAGTTAAAATTTAAACTCTGGGCTGCTTGAAATGGAGTTGGTATTATAAATAGAAATCTAAGGACGCAACTTGTATTTTGGAGTTGCTCTACCACATGTTCTTCTGCAGTATTTAAAAACTGTCTCGCCAGCGTGGGGTTGACGTTGCAAATCGAAGCATTGAATTAGTAGGGGGGATGCGTAAGGAGGAAGTGGCTTTTTGGGGCTCCAGAGGCAAAGGTTTCCGCAAAGCACAGATGTGCTCGACACTATTTACAGTGAAGTTTGCTGCGACTTAGTTGTAGACAACTTTTAAAGGGTACAAAGATCCATGGGGGAAAAAAACTTTAATCAAGAGAAAGTAAGAAAAAGGTTCCTCCTCTGACGGTAATAAATCGGCTAATTAGAAATTGCCAGCCATTTCCTCTGGAAGGAGACATTAAGCACAGACTCAAAATGAGTTTTTCTCCGAGCGTTTGGTGATACAGCTACCTAACTCTTTCCTTTCCAGGTTCTTCTGGTTCTTTTAACCTCCCAAATTCTGGGGACATGTTCATGAACATGCAGAGTCTGAATGGGGATTCTTACCAGGGGTCCCAAGTCGGAGCCAATGTGCAGTCACAGGTAGGAGAGATGCCCCAAAGTAGGGCCTTTCTAGCAGGGTAGGGTTTGGGCTAAAAATTCCACCTTACTCTCGCTCTATTCAATGGTCTGTGCCTCGCTGCAGAGTGGAGGCTGCATATTTCTGAATGTGACCTATTCTTACCCCAGCATTGAATTCCA